GCGGATGGAGGACCAGCAATTCAGTTTGGAAAAATCAATAACAGGTGACAGAAGAGCTTTTTGAGGATTCAGAATTCGCTGTGATCACTCCCATATGGTACAGACACTCTAATGATGTAGACTTTTCTGGAGTCATTACAATTGTCTTAACAGGAATAATTAGCAATGCGAACCAAAATAACTGGTGCGGTCTTGCGTTTTGCGCAACCCTGTCCAACAGACACTTGTGCAACTCTGTCCAGGGGAAACTTGCTGTTGAAAGTGCCCACTGGCATTATTGTTTGACATAAAAAATTTTGTGGTTCCCGAGTTATTAGTTTTGATGCCGAAAGCGCAATGTTTCCGTATGTGAGATCTAGGCACACACGGAGTCTGATTTGTAGGCGGGTAGTGAGTATTATTTTGAAATTTCAATTTCCTTGCTTTTCTAATCCCCGAGTTAATAATTTCGGCGCCAAATCTTTCGTGTGCCCGCACGCAAAGCCAAGGCGCACATGAAAAGTGATTTTAAAATTAGGGGCCTACGCGAGCAGGGAGAATTCTACCAAAATTTCAGCCTCCTAGCTTTTACAGTTCCTGAGTTATCAGTTTAGACGCTAAAACTTTTACGCGATCGTACGTGAAACCTAGATGCAGGCGGACACTGAAATTGTATTTGCGATATCACACGTAAGTAGGGATTCCCACCTTAAAATTTCAGCTTCCAAATAGAACGCTTTGATACTGCAAAGACAGAACGCTCCATTCTCAGATTTCTGATTCGACTGCCTAGAAGAGTCCATGTTTAAGAAGCAATTTTCTAATTTGATTACATTGCAGTCGTTTTTCATACCGAAGTCGCGATGGGCTTCTCGTTCTGTATGTAGCGCAAAAAGAGAATGAAGGTATTTATGATTGCCACGTAAGCGTTTCCAGACGAATAGAATGGGTGTCACGAGTCAATGTGTGTAAGTTGTGCACAGTTACTACTACTAACCAGAAAAGTTGATAAACGAGTTTGAACCTAAGTAATCGGCATGTGACTCTAACAACAAAATCTTGAGCCTTATAAAATCTCATCAATTTTTTAGGACTTTGAAGTAGAAAACCCATCTTTCAGTTACAAGTTAGTAAATATACTTGAAAAGATATTTCCCTTCTTTTACGT